GCCTTGCACATGCACGCAGCATTGCACAGTGCTGTGCAGAGCTAGGTGTACAGGTCCCAAACCAACACGTCTGCGTCGGCGTGACGCTTTACCTGCTACCACAGACCTGAGGATGCAGCTATGGCATGATCACAGGTGCTGCCCATTGCTCACAGCCATCAGTGCTAGGCTTGAAGATGCCCTCTTTGCCCCATCTTCTTGGTAAAACAGTTTGCCATATTTGCAAGTCCTACCTTATAAACTGTTCTAAAATAGTCTTTAAAATTAACATGAAATTTTCCTCACATGACAATCAAAAATTGAAAATCGTCATCACTGAGGGTATCTGTGTCAAAGCAGAGTGGAGAAAATTTGCTTTTGTTCTGGTAGCAGTTATGAGTCATGAGAAAATGCATATAGCTAACACATAAAAGGGTATCGTTTTTTGCAATCTTTGATGATCCCTGTATGGAATATAGTACAAATCCTTAGCTTTTCCAGAGTAGATGGAAACAGAAACCTGTGCAATCTTTCCAGCATTTGAGAGAGATATGAAGTAAACCTTCAACAAAAAGGGAGTGCATCTCAGTTTGGTTTAGTTGCAGGCAAGATAGGTATCTTAAATAAAATCCCAGTAAAGATGAGCACAGATTTTTTTTTTCCCTCTGTGTAGCCTGCCAGACTCATCCACACTTTCCCACACCTGGAGCTGTCCTCCGGAAAAGGGATAAAAATATATATTGTTTCTACAAAGCATTTTTATGTCAATTTAGCTGTACAGAAATAAAGGCACAACATTTTTGTCCAGTGCTGCATAATCTTAGGAAGTGCACTCTCTCTGGTAGAATTTGTTGTTCATGGTAAATATAACAGTAAGTGACTTTTAGCATTTGTTTACAAATATTTATTGAAGATGAAACTTTTTTAATGTACTTTTTAAATGTTAAATATTTAATTAGAGGGTTGGCCAGTCATAAAAAAAAAAGGAGGTAGCTCTATTTTACATTACTGCATTCAGATTTGATGATTATTATTTGTGTACAAACTCAGTGTTTCTAAATGCAGCAATTTTGTCCTTTTAAAAAAGTGCATAAGAAAACTTTAGTTTTTGAATAGCTTTTGTACTAATTAAGCCTAAGTGCATGAATTATTAAACATGCTCGTTTGCAGTGCTCATGCACTTGAAAGGTTTGCTTTCATTACTAATAAGGCACACACACCGCTGAAAAGAGGTAATTAGAGCATCAAAGGCAATGAACCATCCTGAAACTTCATAATGCTTTGCCTGAAAAATTTATCGTTCAGCTGAATTATCCTTTGGCAGAATAGTAAGAAACTAAAAAAGGTCTATACTGCTGTGCCCAGAAAGATGTGAACTGAAATCTTTCCACGTAACTCCACAGCTAAGGTGAGAGCCTTTTAATCTTCTTTAAATACCTTCAGAATTGATGTTGGAATGCTGAAAGTGAACCCCTGTGGTTTTATTTCAAAGACTATGTTTTTTTAGTCAGAAACACGTTAGTTCATATAAATCAACTATTTTTCTCATTTTATGATACAGTTTCAATCCCAGCAAAGAAAAAAAGTTACATTCTCAAAACATTTTTTTCCTAGTGATTTTAATCATCCAGTTATTTATAAGCAGTTGCAGGGAAAGATGCTTCTTTGAGATAAGAAACAGTACTGGCACTTTTTATGGTATGAAAATGTGCACATCATACCAAATAATTAGTGCTCTGTGTAAAGGAATGTCAGAGATTTGTGCCTCGTGTATCTAGCTTTGGAGAACAAGTTATGCTCTCTAGTTTCTCATTAGTACAATCCTGTTAAAACCCTGCCCCTAGTCATTTAGACAAGTATGGTAAAATGACTGCCTACTGTTTACCCAGATTACTGCCTATGCTTTCTTATGTGGATTTAGGGAGAAAAAACAGTCTTTTTTTTTTTTTTCCCCATGACCTGAAGCTCTTAAATGCATGTGAGAAGCCTTTAGGCAGTAGCTTGCAAACAAACCTTCATCTCTTTAAGGTTCAACACTTATCTTTTTTACAGTCCGTGCATGTCCATTGCGCTCAAGACACAGCAATGCATCAAGCCACTGAAATGGCTATCCAGCATGACAGTTGGAGACTGCCACTGAGCCGTGCTCTGGAGTCTGCTCTGCATCGCTTCCTTTGCTGAAAGTAGACTGTAAAACATGCAATGAAGGAGTAAGAGGGAATGTGTATGACCCGGCTCACCTTAATAAAGCAATAGATGCTATGCCATCTGGCACAGCCTCTGGCAAGTGGGGGTTAGGGTGACAGAGACCTTGAGGAAAATGCCTGTTGGTGCAGGGGATAGGGATGGAAACGCATTGCCAAAATTTTGTCCTCTTCTGTCCGGGCTGAGGGACCCCTGTGCTACCAAGTGGGCAATTCTGCGACCTGTGCAGCCTCAGAATATCCCTTGACTCTGTGGTCAAGAGGAAAGATGCTACTTTGGTGTACAGCTAGCCATGGAAGTTTTCTCCCTACTACAACGATTTGAGAAGTGCTCTTTGCCCTTTGCCTCTGCATAGCCATAAGCACCCACCAGAGGCACAAAGCAAAGGCCCTAATCACCTTCATTAGCAGACCAAGAGGGCCAGCTGGGCGAGCTGGTCCAGCCCTCCCATGCTGGGGCACCACTCGGCGCATGGGTAGCAATAAGGCTCCTAATTTAGGACATGGCAGTGCTGCAAAATACTTATGCCAAAGGGAGCAGCATCAAATGATGCGAAATGCTTCCCATCCTCGCTACTAAGAGCTTCTCCTCTCCTTTTGCCATCTACTCTGTCAGCCTATAAGGATCAGTCTTTGGAGCAAGCTATTCCCACAGCTGCATCTCCAAAGACCCACTCCAAAATGAAACCCAGAAGCAAAATAACTTATTATTTTGGGGATGAGGATGCAGGTGCACACTGGGCAGCTGAGCTGTTGGACAGCACAGGCATGCCCATGGGCAGCACAGTTCGATACTTCTAGTTAAGTAGAATGAATTTGCACCTACCAGTGCTTGTGAGTTTTTGTGCCCATATCACTATGTACTTTACACAAGTGGTGGGTACATTGCTGTCTCAGCTGAAGATAGTCCCACATGCATAATGTTTTTGGCAAGAAAGGTACCTCAGGAAAGTGGGGTAAAAGAGTAAGAGCAGTTGATGTTATCTCAAGTGGTAATCAGCAGGATTATAAGCACAAACCTCCCCCTCTCTCTCCAACCTTACATAAATGTTGCTGTAGTGCATATGTCAGTCCAATCTTGAGATCCACGCATCTTACTGCATGGGGGTCAAACAGAGTATACCGTGCATCTGCGTTGGAGATGGAACTAGAATAAAACATATGGTGTCAGACAGGGCCTGGGGGAGTTCTGCAGCAATAAACAGTGATTCTGCCCAAATGTAACTGCTCGGCAATTCTCTGTCTGTGACCTGAAATCATGCATAGGGCACAAGCTGTTAGTCCTTTAGGTAAGAATTGGAGTGCCTTGACTTACATGAGGAAGAAAAGGACCTGTTCCATTTTAACTTATTGGGCAGCATTTAGCTTGTTTAGGAAAAAATTGAGTCTTTGTAGTGCATTGTTTTAGCATGACCTTGTATCCAGAAGTGCTTTCTTGGTCTACTGTTTTTAATACTGGCACAGATCAGCTTTAATTTCTCCTGCTGCAAATAGCTCATGTAGAGACAAAGCAGTAGCACCAAAGGAGGCTCCTGTTTTAAACACTTGGGATGCATCTCATCTGTATGGCTTTGATATCAGTCATAAGAAGGAAGCTATACGTTTGCAGAATTCAGTAAAGAAATGAAAATTATTCTTGAATGCACCTGCAGCAGCACTTTTTTTATATAAATGTGAAATGTCTTTGGAAGAGAATATCATTATATTCCTGATTGCCCCTAATATTCCTGAAGCACCTTTATGAATACCTAACAGGCAAGGCTAAAATAACTAAATTAATCCCATTTCTGTAGCAAGTATAATATATGTAGAGATACATGGAAGGTAACGCTCACCCCTAACTAATTACAGACAGCATGTTTAAGGCACTGGTTTGAACACAGTAGCAGAGAGGGCTTATATGGTGTTGGTGAAAGGACTGTAAGAACTTCACAATGATAAATCCTCTGGACTAAGTAGACTGCTATCAGAAATGCCTAGGAATCAGGCGAAATAGCAAATTAGGAATCCTGTAAGACTAACAGACTATTTCTTACGTGCATGGTCTGTTTTTCATGTGCAACCCAATATATGCCTGTTGTCGAGGACTTCTCAGCAGAAAGGAGGAAGGTTGGTACCAGCGTTAAGGTGCCATCACTAGCACATTTTGTTGCCACAAAATGTTCCCTGTCTGTATTTGCCTCAATTTCTTGCTTACAAATGGAAACAGCAGTACATTGCTAGCCATGGACTGTTAGTGGTAGAATATCATTAGGTGGTTTAAATACAACTTTGATGGACAGCAGGTAAATATTATGACAAGAATGTCTTCTTGCTTTATTTAGAAATATCTCTAAATTTGTAGCCTTAACAGCTGTTCATCCATTTTTTATTAATTCAGTTGTTCTACTCTAGATGGGGGGTCACTAATGGTAGTGTTGAAAGTTTCAGTTTAAAATGGAAAATAAGAAAGCTAGCAAGCCTCCTCATTTTCCAGGCCTGTCCTCTTCCTGCTGTGAGTGCCTGCATATAAACTGCACTTGTTATTGTCATTCTGCTATGATGGGTAATATCAATCCTAGTACAGTTCTTAGAAGCATACCCAAAAGAGGCTCCTTGACCCGTTCCCCATGATTCTGTAAGATCACAGTGCAGTAGACAGCCGACAGGCGATACATCTGTACTAAACGCCGCACGTGGATTGATTGCAGATATTCTGCTTTGGAACCAAATTGGTTGGCTGAATCCACTCACTGGAGTGGTAGAACAGCCAGTAGGCAAGTTCAACGGAGCTCACAATTTTAAGTAAGGACTTGTGTTTTGCTCTTGCCTCCGCAGGTGATCTCATGCATTTGCCACCGTATCTTCGGATGGACTTTTTACTCAACCGCGGCGTGCAGGGTGCGAGCAGAGACCTGGGCTTGGGGCAAGCCTGCCTGGAGCCGCAGAAAAGCCGAACCTTGAAACGCCCCACGGTCCTGGAGCCGATACCGATGGAGACATCCTCCTCCACGAGGGAAGCACAGTCGTGGCAACCTGGTGCTGTGGCAACGTTACCTCAGCGAGAAGGAGCTGAGCTGGGACAGGCGGCAAAAATGAGCAGCTCCCAAGAATCCCTGCTGGACTCCCGGGGCCACTTGAAAGGCAACAACCCCTACGCAAAATCGTACACCTTGGTATAACGAAAAGAGCATGGCTGGACAGTGGCTGTAAATACTTACAATGAAAAAAAAATCCAATGAAAGCTACCTTTTTTTTATTGAATTCCAATATTTATAATTAAAGAAGAAGATTGCCAAAATATTTGACAAAAAAAAAAAAAAAAAGAGCGACAGACAGTGCAAAGACTCTCTTGCTTTTTTTCTGTCTGAGTGTGAGCTTCATCTGACTGGACATCTGAATTTTTGGGTAAAAGAGTCCAGTTTTCTGATCTTCACAAGCGTTTGTGTTTTTACTGATTTTCTACGAAGTGCATGGAGACTTAACAAAAACATTTTAACTGGAAGTTCCATCAGACAAGATTAAAAAGGGGGGAAAAATCACACACAAAAAAACTATTTGTGAATTCAACAGGAACATTGATTTGGGAAAACAAAAAGTCTTTTGTCATGTTTGCACTTTTTTTTTTTAATTAGAAAATGGGTCCTTGATTGTTCTTTTTTGTTGTTGATTAGGATGAGTGCTGTCAGTGGAGTGAGGGGATTGGTTTGGCTTTTTTTTTAATATTAATTTAATGAGACACTCTTTGCATTTTGTCTATGCGAAATAAAAGGGTCTTCTGCCTTTATCTGTGATGTCTGCTTCCTGTCGCCTTCTGCTGTGCTTGATTTCCTCAAAGCTGGGTTAGTACCTGGCTCTGTGTTCCTGCATCTTGGTCAGAGAAGAAAAGCAAGCCCACAGCATTGAAAATAACTGGGGTTCAAGCTACGCAGGGCCTCTCTTGCTGCCCCACAGCAGAGAGAGTCAGAGTGAGGCAAAGACAGATGTGCTCAGAAGTGAACGCTCGGGACGCTGCATTTATGTCGCGCGGAAGCAGGAGGCTTTCGCTCAACGTCAGTATTTTTTGTATCATCAGTGTCATTACATAACAAAGGATGTGTTGACATTACCGTATGTACTTCTTGGGAACAGGTTGTTATTCCATCAGGGAGCAGAACTCACAGAAAATTAGTTGCTTGCATAAGCATTGAAAAAAAATCCAGTTCCCATAATAGGAAAAAGAGAAGAAAAATTATCCCAGTCCTAAAATCAACATGGTTATCTTAAGATGAGGAAAATCTTTTGGGGGGAGCTCTCAGATCATACTGCTTTACTGCATCTTTTAATTACATGAGAGAATATTGTTTTATAGAAATATAAGTGGTAGGATACTCCAGTTCATGAACCTAACAAAACAACACTACCAGTCCCTTGCTTAGTGCCTCCTCCTGCTTTCATTCTGACTACCACTTTCTGCTGGATGGTACAGGACATCCCAGATTAGCGCTAATATGAACACACTGTTCAGCACTGGCTGGAAATATCCCTTGGGGTGTGAGAGCAGTGGAACAGTGTGAGCCTGAGCACACTGTGAGGCTCGTGCAATTTCCCTAGCTGGTGACAGTGTCAGCACTGCGAATTTGGCATTTCGGCACCATGCTCAATTCAAGTACTTTTAAAGTAGAGAAAGGCACGGTTATATGTAATTGTTTCATTAGCATTATTACTGCAATTATGTAGTTACAAGGGCGCTAACTTAGTAAAGTACATTCATGTCTTGAAATGACATTGCACTTAAATCCTTACCTCTGTCACACTCAAGTGCTAAAATTCTGGAAGAAACAAATGAAGATATCCTTGAGGTACGTATTTATTACAGATCTAGAGCAAAATACTGAGATTTCAGTCATATAAGAAACCATTTCCCCATGCCAGTTACTTATTTGACCATATTGGCAATTGCTAGTGCAGATTAAAAAAAAAAAAACAAACACTTTTTGCCTCCTTAAAAATTATTAAAAATGCATTTTTATTTAAGGATTATCCATGAAGCTTTTCAAAACAAAATGAAAATATCCATATGTTGAAGAAAGAAAGATGAAATTATTTATTTGCTTTGGAATTTTTCCATTAGAAGGAATTTGGTTAATAACAATCTATTTTAAACTTATGAGAAAAATCTCCCTTTCACTATTTCTTATTGAAAAACTCTGTGGAACCTTCTGTTGGAGATTTCACTTCTGGGCAATGCAGCTCTTTCTGACTCCCACGGGAATCTTTCCATTGAGCTGGATGGGGCATTAGTACCACATTTGCATATCAAAACTGATTTTTTTGGTAGTATTCAGGAGTTTGAGTCTCTGACCACTTTCATCTTCCATGCATCTTCCAGCTTCCTTCTCATCCTCTGGAAAAAAAAAAAAAAAAAAGGTGAAAAGCTTTTGGGCAAAATGGAGAGTTTTCATCATTTGTTTCACTGCCATTTTGCTGTGGGGATCCCAAATCCCATGACTGGATAGCACGGAGGCAAGGGCAGAGCTCTCCATCTGAACTTGCGTGCAGTGGCAGATGAGAACAAGCATGCAGGGTAGGGGGAAATATTTACATTTTAATCTCCTGGTGGCTGCTGATAGTGGAAATACTCTATATATCTTCCTAAATTCACATCTGGCTGGTGATCCGGAAAATGCAACTTCACTTGACTTAATGAGACTTCCTCCTCATTTGTATACAATATGCCTGCTGATATTCATCCTCCCTATAAAGCGAAGACGCCTTTGGGGGCCCCACATTCAAAGAAATTCATGGCAAGTGCCCTGCTGGTAGAAATCAGAGTGGCTCAGGCTGTTGCTTAGCAAGCGGAGGCTCAGCCCGCGGGGTGCTGGCTCCCTGCCCTGGACCCAGCGAGCTCTTCAGCACGTTCAGCTGCAAACATGCACACAGTCCCCTTGGCTTCGGGGCGTTATTGGCTTTTAATTTTCAAAACAGAAATGGAGCTGTAGCTAAATGCATAGCAGAGCCTTTAAAAAAAATGCCTGTCAAGCTTTGGAGGGGGAAGTCATCTCTCTTATCGGGCTAACACAGCTGGGAGCAGCCCAGTCCTTCCAGTCTGGCTCATGTGGTCAAGACAACCTGCTGCTGTATCTTTGCCAACACCATGGCAAACACATCCCCATAACAGGGTCAACAAAATCCATGGATCCGGTACGCCTGCGCCCAGCAGGCGCTATGCTGTCCCCCTTGCACCGTATGCCCTCTTGGAAACCAGTCATGTAAATGAAACAGCCAGGAGGCACCAGCATGAGATGTCAAAAGAGAGGCCCTAAAGCACAGGAACATCTAGTTACCCCTGCAAGTGCATCACTCACCAAAGACAGACTCTTTCTTAGTCCTCGCACCACTCGCCAAAGACAGACTCTCTCTTAGTCCTGAGGCTGAAAGCAGGCTTGCAAAATAGGAATTTAGGAGCTAAAGTTCTTCCCTCTCTCCTGCCTGCCGAAAGACCTACCTCCTCAGAGAGACTAATTCTTTGCGCAAAATACTTCTCCCCACACCCCAACCTCAGCTAACCCTTTAATGATTCACAGATAATAATTAATGCTGCCTTTTTGTCTCAAATGAATTAGCAACTCCCTCACTCTTGCCTTTTCTAAGAACCCTTTTATCCCTTCTCATCCCATTAATGTTGCTCTTAAATTGCCTGATTAGCACAATTGCATTAAACTTGGTATGTTTTTCCTCTTCTGCTTGTCTTTAGGTTGAAGGTTGCTTTCCTATTCAGAAACAAAGAAATTCTGGAATGTTTCAAAGTTTGCATTTTGATTGGCTATTTTTTAAAACCATTTGAGATCCATAGTCATGTTATTATAACTATGAGGAGTTACGGATCATAAGCAAGGCGAGACATTATTAGACCAAATAATATGGTTGGAAAACAAATAAAAACCAAACCAACAAACAAGCAAAAAACAAACAAACAAAAAGGATTGGGACAATAAGAGTCCAGAGAAGCTTCCCCGTTTTCCCAGGCAAAAGGAAGATTTTGGCCATCTCAGGATGGAATTTTAAAAAATTTTTTGCATAAATGTCTTCAGATTTGACTCCCGACACCCTTTGCCTGGACAATCCGGTATTTTTGTAGTATTTTATTTTATTTTATTTTATTTTATTTTATTTTATTTTATGATGAAGCAAACAGGTGGGATAAGGGGGCAGCTGGAAAAAACAGAACGTCTCCAGGACCCTGATTGCCTCAGGAGCATTTGCTGCTGACCCTTACACTGAGCCCTCTGAAAAGCCACCGTGCATGTCCTCCTTCCATCTAGAGCTTCCGCACCTGCGCCGACATTGGCATTTTACCCTGACAGTGGCAGAGGGAGGAAGAGGGAGCACCAGACATGGCTTCCTTGTAGGCACAAACGGAGCAGCTTCTTCCCAGTGTAAATCAGAGTTGCTCAATTGACTGGAACAGAACTGTGGCAGCTCATACTGCTAAAAGTGCTAACCTGGATAGCTAGGATTAAAAACATAGAGCCGAGGGATATTTGTGAGGGAAGCAGTGGAAGGGAGCTCTCTTTCAAAAGAAGAAGGAAAAAGAGAAAGAAAAATAATCAGAAATACAGTTTGGACAAACCGTTCACAGTTTCAGTGCTTTCCGAGTTACCTCAGGTCACAGCAGTGGCTTAATGGACTATTGCGGCTGGCTGTGAGGCATTCCAGCATGGAAAAGAAAATGCTTTTCACCATTAATTTTCTCTGGGTTTGCCTCCCAAGGGAGACCTCACCACCTTCGCAGAAGGAAAACGCCTCTGCAGGAAGTGCACAGGCCCAGTGCACACAGCTAACACTGCCAGAGGGTCATAACTTCTGCGATTTTTTTTAAATATACTTTCTAAACTATTCCTCCTCTTTTTAAGATGAATGTTGAACTCCTTTCTACCAGGTTTTCTGGGCACGGAAGAGCTAAAACTAAAACAAAAAGGGATCTGTAAATACTCTTGTGGTCTACAGAGACCTGTATATCTTCCAGCAAGACTTCATTTTTGTATGCTGGCATCTGACACTGTGCTAACCTAGTCCTGTCTAGATTTTAATTGCTCAGTCATCCAAAATGTATGGGTTTTCGCCTCTCAGGCAGCCACTGAAAGTGCTTGGCACTGTACAGGCCTGAAGGTATTTGCAAGGGAACAGGCATCGGGAATGACTCTGAGCACAGAACGGACCAGATACAGCTGTGGCAAGATGGGCAGGTCCACAGATGGGGCCACCAGCTTCCTGACTTCTAAGAGTAATTGTTTGAACTCAA